GGGCACAGACCATGAAATCGCATTTCCCAACGAGTATGAAGTCCACAGCACACATTGGAGACATCGTTGTGACCAGAATTACAATGGGGAAACGATCCGAGCACAAACCATGAAATCGCGGTTCCCAACGAGTATGACGTCCAGAGCGCGCATTGTAGGAAGTTCAGAGGTGACATTCACGACATCATTGCGACCAGAACTATAATGGGGGAACGATCCGGGCACAGACCGGGCACAGACCTTGGAATCGCATTTCCCAATGAGTATGCGGTCCGGACCGCACATTGGCGACATCCTTGTGACCAGAATTATAATGGTGCGCCCAGCCGCGCTCAGACAAAATGTACGTTTCACCACACGTTCGTGCGCTCGACACGCACGATCTCCGCAGAGGGTTGCTCGAGGGCAAACCTTGAAACCAGAATTACAATGGGGAAACGCAAAATCGACAAAACCTTGTCACCAGAATTATAATGGCGGAACGCACCGCGCACACCAAAAATGTACGTTTCACCACACGTTCGCGCGATCGACGCGCACGATCTCCGCAGAGGGTTGCTCACGGACAAACGCGATTCGCGTCTCACCACACGCGCGCGCGATCGATGGCCACGATTCCACGAGAGGGTTGCGTTTCGTAAGACCTGCTCGCACCGCCCCGCCGCCTAAAGAGAAGAATAAAGAAGAAGTTGGGTAGGTGAAGTTGGGTAGGTGTCTTAAGGAAGATGTCTACACCTACCTATCTTCACCTACCTATCTTCACCTACCTATCTACACCTACCTACCTACACCTACCTGTCTATACCCACTTATCAATACCTACCTATCAATATCTACTTCTGATGTACTTTGATATTGTTGATCTGATACTTCTACTTCATATGTTATGTTGTGATGTGATATTATTTTATCACATGATATGAGATGATATGATCTGACATTGATGTGATGTGATATGATATTAAAACATGATATGATATGATATGTTATGACATTGATGTGATGTGATATGATATTATAACCTGATATGATATAATATGATATGATATGAGATTAATAACCTATGAGGTGATGATTAGATGATGATGTTGTGAGGGTGAAGTAGGAGAAAGTTAGTAAAGAATATGAAGTAAGGAAGGTGAAGTAGGATAAAGAGAGTCAGGAAGAGAGAGTGGGGAAGATGAAGTAAGAGAAAGAGAGTAAGGAAGAGAGAGTGGGGAAGATGAAGTAAGAGAAAGAGATTAAGGAAGATGAAATAGGCAGCAGTGCTTAAGGAAAAACCCTTCGCAGGTGCTTTCGGGAATAACTGCTACTTTTACTCTGAAAAAATCTGATTATCTATCGCAGCTGTTGTTAGTTCTTCTGTCCTCTTACATCTTTTGGCACACCCAGGGTTCTCGTACAACATCAAAGCAGCAAGAGAAACAGAGTGCAATGGACCACCAGGAATTTGGGGGGGTTTGACTCAGAGAAGCGCATTTGGAACGTAGATGAACTGCACGTAGAGGGAATACACAACCGCCCAGATCGGCAAGATCTTTAGAACTTTTGGTGGAACTGAACAAAGTTGCGCTTGCGCGCAGTTTGTTCTTATGGCCGGCCCGAGTGCCCTCGGCTTCCAACCCAGCTTATAATGCACCGTCTAGGGCCGAGATAGAGAAACTAATCAAGGCAGGCGCATGCCAACTGAGTGCACAGTGGTCCCAAGTAGACGTGGATGTCTAAAGGGGAAACTAAAGATGCGATGGCGTGAGTTCTTCACGCAGTGCTCTTAAGCCGGGTTAGCCAAGGCCCAGCATGAATGTTCCTAAAGTTGATGTTGATGGCTTGTTTCCATGGGCCTGCGCGTCCACAGCAGTTGCGCCCATGGAGCCCCCCCAAGTTCAAAACACGCGGCGGTCGAGGCGCGTGAGAGCACAGGACATGAGAGGAGCAAACGAGGAAGCTGTGAACTCGTTCATAACCCTCTGTTTGTAAAGAGCCTGAAGTGAGCATGGTGAACGGCCTGTGCTCAAGCAGGGTGGGTAGGGAGGGCGAAGGGGTGCTTTTACACGAAAAATCCTTCTGTAGTGACCCCCACAACCGCACCAGGACACCCCTTAGACACCTGTATGCCAGCAGGTCCAACCAGGCCCCAGGCCCATCATGCGGGGTTACAGTGTGAATTTTCCTAAAGTTGATGTCGCTGGCTTGGTTGCATGGACCTGCACGTCCAAAGAAGTTGCGCCCATGGAGCGCCCCAAGTTCAAAACACGCAGCGGCCGAGGCGCGCGATTGCACAAAACATAAGAGGAGCAAGCAAGTCTCGGTATTCTTGGAGATGGGGATGGAGACCGAAAGTAAGCTCATTTCCTGAACGGTTGATCCGCATCGACGAACAGAATGGCAGAAGCTCAGTCGCGATCGAGGCAGATACCTGACATCAAGAAATCTTCGGACCAGCAGACGCTGGAAGCCCGAAGCCCATTGTTAGACAAGAGTGATGCATCGCGGTATAGATCCACAACCATGGGAGCGGCATACCTGGCGCAAGATCGCCTGGCTGTGAGGAATCTCGCCTGCGGAATGGTGACGCCCACAGAGGCGAAGTTGGCGGACCTGAAGAGGCTGATACGCAATCTCAAGCGGTATCCGGATGTGGCGCAAGTCTTCAGTTCTCAGCAAACGCCGACGAAACTGCGGATACAAGCTGATGCAGACGTGGAACGGTGGCCATCTTTGGCGCCCGTGTCCTCAAGCACAGCGCAAACATCCAGTCAACGATCGCCCTCTCAACTGGCGAGAGTGAGTACTATGCTCTCGTGAATGGCGGTTCAACGGGTCTGGGATTGCAGAGCCTGTGCAAAGATCTTGGAGTGGAACTGGAAGTCGCCGTGGAAGGAAACTCAAATGTCGCAAAGCACACTGCACAGAGAGTTGGACTTGGCAAGGCACACCATATCCAAACGAGGTACTTGTGGCTACAAGAGAGAGTAGCTGAGAGGCGCCTCAAAGTTGCCCAAGGCTGACGTTCTCACCAAATCAGTCCCCGGAGTCCAGCTCCGAAAGACGGTGGAAGATCTCCAATACATCTTCCTCGACCGAAGCAGCAAAGGCCAACTATAGCTAGACATCCTCAGATGAGGCCGTGGCCAGACTCCACCACCATGTTCAGGACTAGCGGCACTAAGCGCAGTGGGAGAGAAGAAGCTTCACTTGTATGTAAAGCCTGGTCAGAGGCTCATCTCTTTGCAAGAGGAGGAGTGTCGAAGTGTATAGCCCATATATACTCCGCATGTAAAGTTTTAAAATTCTGACTAAGGACGACTTCATTTATATTTTTGTTCAAGGGAGAACAGGGCGCTCCGTAGCGTCGATAAGGTGCTTTCAGTACTTCTATGTGTGTATGTATGTATGTATTTACTGTTTTGGGCCGTGGCCTGCCAAGTACCTTTTTACTGTAAGTAAGGAGTAAACACACTACTAGTAACTAGAGGCAGGAGAGCTCACACTCCCACTATTTATGTTGGTTCAATGTTTGAGGATATGTAGCACTGCTTCTCCCGTTAAAATGGGGCGCCATGCTTCGTTGTCGATAGTTTCGAAACCTTTCAACCCAATAACGGCTTGGAGCCCCGGGAAAAAGACTCACACTACTCCCGTCGCAGATGTGCCGCACAGGCAAGGATGAAGCTGTTGGACAGGCCCGACGGTCCACTCACTTTGATGGATTCGTGTCAAGTTCCTTCTTAGCCAATCTGATGAAATATGATAAAATATGTGTTTTGGTTTAGGTTGGAGGCCATTGCTCTTAAATTGGAGGTTTTTTTACTTTTTGTTCAGAATGTTTGACATGTTTCATTATCAAACCTGGAGTACTGGAGTCACCAAGTTTCACAGATCGAAGCCTTGCTAAGGAGTCAATGAGAAATGGGTCATGGTGGATCATTGTCATTCTTAAGCAATGCAAAGCTGTCCGGCATCTGTCCACCACCATGTAAGGCCACTACGTCGTGTGCAACAAGACGTACCGAGAACGACCACGGTCATGAGCTCGGCAGAGCTCAGCTGCGCAGAGCCTCCAACCTACTAGCGATGGCCTCTAACCTACCAGAGTTCCTGAACAATCAAATGTAGAAACAAGGTGAACCAACTTGCAAAATTTTTTGTTCTCAAGCTGTTCTGTTTTTGCTCAGAAGTTTGCAACCTGTTTTTCACATCATTTTAAGCTTTTCAGAGGAAGCTTGTGTCCTGTACTCTCATGAAATCTAAGAATAATTTATTGGCCAAGTCTGGCGCACTTTTCCTCCCAACTTCCCTTCAGGCCCGTCGGAGTTCTGCACCTCAAGTTCCAGATGAGGTGAGTGTTCAAGCACCTAGTAGCAATGGCCTCCAACATAATAGCAATGGCCTCCAACCCAAGAAGCCAAGCTGGTCCAACACGCAGATGTTTAATTTTCTGCTGAGTGCAATTTGGACGAGCCTGGAATTTGTGTTCCATGCGAATGTTTCTTGGATCCGTGGCCGTATTTCTTTTCTCAGGCACAAGGTATCAACAATTGTCATGTGTTGTGTGGAATCACCCATTTTTTTTACTATTGACTAGTGAAACTATGCATTTCACACCTGGACAACAAACACCCTTGTAGCCCTAAGATGCCATTCGACTTTGTAGATGTTGTTTGGAATTGCAACATGAGAACATAATCGGAATCTAGAGCATGCAGCACGAAGTCTTCAAACCTCCCACAGTAGAGACCACTTATGGCAGCGCTTCCCCAAAAGCCTGCTATAGCAGAGCCAGCGGCGGCCGCTACGGCAGAGCCCACATCACGGACTCTTCCTTCAGCTCCATCCGCTCCTTCTGCCTCAACATCCAGTTCCACTACATCTGCGGCCGCATCCACCAGCACAATTCCTGTGCCAGAAGGGACCTTAAAGAAGAAGAGCAAATCGACACCACGGCTAAAGGAACATGAGACCTTTGATGGTGAGGAAGATGGTGAAGAGCCAGAGGCAGAGGAAGAGGATGGTGGTGTTGATTCGAGCGAGGAAGAGAGAGAGGAGGCGAATCAAGCCTTCGACTACCCTGAGACTTGGCTTTTGTTCAAGGTGAGAAAAGGCATGAATCAAAAAGAGAGTTGATAAAGGAGACTAAGTCCCGACCTCCTTGCCTTTTGTTCTTTATTGTTCATTCTGCAAACCCCCAAGCCTGCACAATCCTACGATACCTTTTATCAAAAGAAGAGGTTCATTTCTTTTCGTTCAAACATGAACAAATCCGAGGAGAACATGAGCAAAGATGAGGTCATCGAACGTTCACCTTTGGGCCGCTTCGTTCGCTTCAATCGAAAGCTTGGAAGTGGTTCTTACAAAGTGGTTTACTTAGGCTTCGACAACGACACCGGCATGGAAGTGGCTTGGAACATCATCTCTTTTCAAAACCTGGACAAGAAAGCAAAAAAGAGAATCTCTGAAGAGATCAACATGCTGAAGACTCTGAAGCATCCAAAGATCATTGCTTTCATCAATGCCTGGACCAATAAAGAGAAAGAGCAAGTGTGCTTCATCACGGAGCGGATCACGGGTGGTTCTCTTCTACAGTACATCAAGAGAATCAATGCTCCGCTCAAGCAGAAGGTCATCAAGAACTGGTGTCGGCAGATCCTGGAGGGGCTCAACTATTTGCATACACGTCCAGACCCGGTGATTCACCGAGACTTGAAGTGTGACAACATTTTCATCAACGGCAACCGGGGCGACATTGTCATTGGTGACTTGGGCTTGTCGACCACACTCAAGGCCTCATGTGCCAGATCGATCGTCGGAACCATCGACTTCATTGCACCAGAGGTCTACGATGAGAAGTACGGCACACAACTGGCCAAGACAGAAAGGTTTTCTTTTCGTCTCCGCCTGCCTTTCTTTTCTTAAGAAGGCGCCTACTAGTTTTGGAGGGAAGCTCCTGCGTCCAGATAGCTCACGCACGAAGGATTTGGTTCCTAGATTTTTAGGGAAACGTAACCTTCGATTTTCTAAGCGGTTACTTTTTGTTACTTTGTGCTTTTGCAAACACCCCGGCGTAGTCGATGCAAACACCCCAGAGTCACGTATTGAGTGATTGACGACTCGATAAAGCGAGGATGTTGATGTTTTTCTACTTGTTTGGCCTTTGTTTGCGCGTTGCATTGCTAGGCACTGCAGTAGACATCTATGCGTTTGGCATGGTGCTTCTGGAGATGATCGGCCGTGAGCAACCATGGAGTGAGTGTGAGACCGCAGGTCAAGTCTACAAGAAAGTCATGGCCGGTGAAAGACCCAGAAACTTGTTGCGAGTCAAGGATGAACTGCTTCGAGGAATTGTGATGCAATGTTCACGAATGAGACCTGAAGATCGACCAAGTGCTGCACAGCTCTTGGAACACAACTGGCTCACCGAGGAAGAGCTTGCAGGGGGAAATGTCCTTTGTGAGCTTTTGGCACCTGATGAAGCTCCATCCGCTGTGCCTGATGTTGATATTTTTCCCAAGTTGCAAGTGGATTTGGAGCAGATTCCGGAAGAAGATGAAGAGACGGAGTGTGCTGTGGAAGCTGCAAGCTCTGTCACACCACCAGCGGAGGTCGTGCCTGCGACCCCTGCAGTGCCGGCGGCTCCCGTGTCCGCGCCAGCCACGGAGGCTCCTGCTGTGCCTTCAGAAGCAGCGACGAGCAGCGTGACCAGTGCAGGTCCGAGTCCGGAAACGACGAGTGCACCAGCTGCAGCTCCTTCTCCGGAAGTGGTGGGAGTGGGGTCAGTCCCAGCGGTCGAACCCGCTCCGCTTACTGCGCCATCGGCGTCCACACCCGTGGTGGCAGGGGAAGCGCTGGTTCGACCCAGTGGAAGCGACGAGCTGGAAGAGCCCTTGCCAAGCCTGATGCGTCCACAAAACACCGTCGAAGAGCCCGAGCCCGAGACGGAGTTTGAAGATGCTGACGGAACCACTGGACTGGGGGAACCAAGTGTCGAAATTAGCGTCGAAGCACACGAACAGGTGGAACAGGTGGAACCCCATGACTCCATTTCAGCTCGTGCACCATCAGAGGGTTCGGCGGTGGATGGTACCAGCAGCCATCCTCTCAAACGGTCAGAGGGGCGACACGAGGAGTTTCTACCTGCAAGCCTCGGTCATCTCCCTTCCAGTCATCCCATCACCTCGGAGCAACGCTTCATGGCATTGTTAGATGAGGTGGGCACAGACGTGATCACGGAGTGTGTCATCAGTGCCAAGACTGGTCAGCAAGAGATCCGATTTGACTTTGACAGAACCAAAGACAATGTGCTGGTTGCAGCATTTTGTTTGTTTGGTGACGGAAGTGTGGATCCTTTGGGCATGGGTTTTGAAAAGTTGGCATTAGATATTGAAGATGCTGTGACACGTCGATGCAAAGATCTCATCAACGGCACCGGCACGACTTCAGTGCCTTTGTCCCACTCAGAGCGAGCAGAGCGAACTTTGTCGGGCTTTGCCCGCGACGGTGCGATGTCATCCGATGCAAATCCGATGTCCGCGGTGAAAGAGAAAGAACTCACGGATGTGGAGGCGCTCCGATGGGGGAGGTAGCGTCCTTGCTCCGTTCGTAGCGGTGCCCTTTGCTCCTAGTAGATTCTTGCTCCTAGTAGTAAGGCCAGGAGCCCCGTTCGTAGCTTCTTGTTCAAAGTAGGCCGAGGTAGGTAGGGTCCCTAGTAGAGTGTAGAGACGCAGGATAGCTAGTAGCGGAACCAGTAAGCTACTACAGAACTGGACGCAGGAGAGCTCACGCACCAATGACTTGGTTCTTAGATGTTTAGGGAAACGAATAGCGATGGCCTCCACCCTAGTGCGATGGCCTCCAACCTAGAAGCTTGATGGGACCTTCTTAGACTGTGCTTTCGCTTTGCTTTCGAAAGACGCCGATGTGGAGGACTCCAAGGTGAACTGGCACAGCCTCGGTTGGTCTGCCGCCAAGAAATTGCCGCTCTCAGCAGAGGTGTCCAACAAAGGATCAGATGAGACGGTTTTGAGAGACCAACGAGATGCCATTCTGCTGCTTCAGAGGAGCAGCGTTCACGAAGACAAAATACATATACTGTATGTCCATAGGTGCTTTAACCAACATTCATATGATTTGTTGGGACAGAATAGAAAGGGTTTACCCAGCCCTGTCACAGGAGTCTTGCCTACCTGATCCCGAAAGTCACTGAAGAGTACTTTCTGGTCCTTGGAGAATGGTGCAAACAGACCACGGAGGCTGTGGAGCAGTTTCGGAGCTATCACAACATCCCCAATGAGAAGGAAGGTGTCGTGGATGCCAAGATTTGGGACAAGCTCTCGGATGAGGTGAAGAAAAAAGATGAAAAGGAAGTGAAGAAAAAGGAAGATCGGCTCAAAGATCAGCTGAACAGGCAGCAGGAGAAGCTGCAGCGAAAAGAGCACAGGAACTTGGAAAGCTCAGAGACCTACAAGAATATGATGGATGCATGTCAGGTGAACCTTGGCGCAGTGAGCGCTGGCAAGACCACGGTAGTGACCACGGCTTCCACCGCAGATACGTCTGCTTCCAAAGGCAAGGCATCAACTGCTGAGGCATCATCTGCTGTCAGCAACTCCATGGCACAGTCCTCTCCACCAAAGACGGAGCTGAAGTCTCAGCCAAGCACACCTCGTGGTACTTCCAAAGATCCCAATTCCGGGAATGGGTTGCCCATGCCAGCGCAAACGGGTGGTATATCTTCCAGGCAACCAACACAACAGGGTCAACACGGTCAACACCAACACATGCAGCCAAATGCCACGCAGGCACCCCAGGTAGCACCTCAGGGAGCTCAGTATTTGCCACAGCATTTGCCGCAAGGTACTCAGCCAGGGACTCAGGGAGCCTCAGGGACCCAGCAATTCCAGCAATTTCCGCAGCAATCGGCGAACTTTCAGCAGTTTCCACAGAACTTTCAGGGCCTGGGACAACATGGTCAACAACCCCCTCATGGAAACTACAACATGCAGCAGGGCTCTGTTCCAGTACAGCAAATGCAGCAGCCCCAGCAAATGCAAAACTTTCAGGCCATGCCGCACGGTAACTACCCCATGCAGCAGGGCTCAGTGCCGCAGCAAATTCAGTCAAATCAGCAGATGCCATCAAATCAGCCGATGCCATCAAATCAGCAGATGCCATCTAATCAGCCGATGCCATCAAATCAGCCGATGCCATCAAATCAGCAGATGCCATCAAATCAGCCGATGCCATCAAATCAGCAGATGCCATCTAATCAGCCGATGCCATCAAATCAGCAGATGCCATCAAATCAGCAGATGCCATCAAATCAGCAGATGCCATCAAATCAGCAGATGCCATCAAATCAGCAGATGCCATCAAATCAACAGATGCCATC